AAACGAACCGCGAGAACTTAGCCTAGCTCGCTAAAAACATATCTCAAGAAAGTCTCGCAGCTCTACTGCCTTAGAATGTTCCGACACCACAAAATTCTTCTCTACTACATTTATACATATGAGTTTGTTCTCTTCTCATTCTCAGCTCGGCATTCCACATTAACTTCCACAGTGTTTGTTAGTCTCAAAATTCGTCCGAATTCCTGCCAGTGTGATGGCTCAACCTTTACTTTTTGCAGCAAAAACCGAACGAAAGTTTCTCTGCTGTGGGATTGCAGACAAATACCCCAACTACCAGACTTGGTAGGACGATCAATGATTCCCGAGGCGATCCATTTCCCACCGGTCAACAGGTAGAATCTGCCACATTAGCTAAAATTTGAAGTCCATAAGTCCTGCACCAGTTAAAACAACGAATGTGCTTGTGCGTCCTCTACATTCCGCATTTTCATCCCGGGATTTTGAGACTCCGTTGTGGACTTTTTTGTAAATTTCTGGCTCGGTCAATGTACTCACTAGCCACAGTGGTTTGCTCAAAGAAAAGCAATAAAATCAAGGTGATAGACTAGTATCACATCACTTACGTTGTTTGGGTATTTTATTCGTGATTCTGTAGTTATCGCCCGACTGCATTTGGGTCTCCTAGAGTCTAATGCCATAGAAATCGCTGGACAAATCCACATGACGATAACACAAAGCTGACAGCATGCGAGGTGTCACATAAATTTGAGAAAAAAGAGTTGACAGGCCTGGAGACATGAGTGCGTTCGTTTGCAGGTTGATGAGCAACATGATTAATAAAATAACAGTGATGTTGCTCATCGCTACTTGGAACGAAGTAAATATTAGGATATGCCAGCTCGTTCTTTTTTGAGAGCAACAGGTAAAACAGAAGGTGGATAAGTGAACTTATCCGGGAATTCAAGTGTTTTACCGTTCGACGGTAGTTTAGCGTAATCTATGATTGCGTAGATTCACTCTGTGCCCGTTTTCAAAACAAGGAAAAATAGCGTTGAGTCTATGCAACCAATCAAAGGCGATACTGCCAGTTTTACTGGAGCTTGTTAAAAAAAAATCGGAAACGCCGCGCAGTTTCACCATTGTGGCCCTATCCGACCTTCAACCACGCAACCAAAGATGCTAAAGATGATAAGGACGAAAGATGATAAGGACGAAAGATGATAAGGACGAAAGATGATAAGGACGCTCCAAGAGCACAGTCTGTTGCTTCAGTTAGTCATTGCACTTTTCTCCTCGGACTTGTCGCACCACTTCCAAGATGGCCCAAAACGATTCGCCACTCTCGACGAACGGCCGGACTTTACGTCGATGCTCACGGTCCGAACGCTCCCACATTCACCGTCTGGCTACCATTGTCGATGAACACACCAACCAGTCTGGAAACAACATCAGCCCGGCCGCTGTACCTTTGCTGAAGCGATCCAAGTCCGAACGCGTAATCCGCACCACCCAAGGCGTGAAGTTCGAAGACAAAGATCGTAAATACCAGACTCGACTGGATAACCTAAAGGTGATCGCCGCGGATCCGTGCAGCTCGAAAAGCAACGCTCTGATTGCTCAGAAGGCGCTCCGGTATCGCAACAAGATCAGGAACGTCGATGCGCGTCCATGAACTCGAAACACTGGTGTCCTATTGGATGCATGATAAATGTGTATATCGTACAATAAAACAACACGTTTTGAACCATGCCGGGCAGTGCTCGCAGGGTTCCTGTTATCTAATTCAGAGTATTTACTATGATTTCCTCCTCCCTCGTTCTTTTCTTCGTCTAGTTCGCTCTCTTTTTTTTGTTCGCTCTGTTGGAATCGCTTCGCTCTACATTCCTCCATA